TGCATCTGAACTCTTCATATATATATATATATACAGGTGCATCTCAATAAATTAGAATGTCGTGGAAAAGTTCATTTATTTCAGTAATTCAACTCAAGATGAGAGACACCAGACCCAACAATGCAGATGAGCTGAAGGCCGCTATCAAAGCAACCTGGGCTTCCATTACACCTCAGCAGTGCCACAAACTGATCACCTCCATGCCACGCCGCACTGATGCAGTAATTCATGCAAAAGGAGCCCCTACCAAGTATTGAGTACATGTACAGTAAATGAACATACTTTCCAGAAGGCCAACAATTCACTAAAATAAAATTTTTATTGGTCTTATGAAGTATTCTAATTTGTTGAGATAGTTAATTGGTGGATTTTTGTTAAATGTGAGCCAAAATCATCACAATTAAAAGAACCAAAGACTTAAACTACTTCAGTCTGTGTGCACTAAATTTATTTAATACACGAGTTTCACAAATTTGAGTTGAATTACTGAAATAAACGAACTTTTCCACGACATTCTAATTTATTGAGATGCACCTGTATATACACACACTGTGCGTGTGTGTGGTTTTCTCTTTTCCTTTTTGAGAGTAATTTTTTTTTTTGGTATATTCTCTAAGACATGTATTCAACAAACTTGTGATTTCTTGTGTTTGTTGCAAAATACTTACTATATACAATATTTTTTTGTACCTACATTAACTGGACACTGTTCTCCATTTTTTGATGTAGTGTAATGAATGATCTGTAGTGCATATATTGACTAATGTGTGCATGATTTGAAAGCTTTGTTTGATTTTGAGTACAGGTGAAATGGTTTTGAAGCCTTTGTTTGAATTTGCCAGACGAGTCAGGGGTTCTGTGAATTTAGTTTTTAGGTTTTGAGAAAATGAGTAATGGTTTCAAAAAACGTGTTTTTCAGAAAAACTGTAATCAGTGGCAGTGTATTTCATTACTTATGCATTTATTTAATCTAAATGTAATTTCAATATTGCCTTAAGTTTGGGTATTGATTGCAATAAAACTAAAATAACTGTACAAACATAACTGTACTAAGTTTGGTTAAAATTTTGCAGGAAAATGCAGCTCAATATAGCAATCCACAGACACATACATATATATATATATAGTCATATGAAAAAAGTCACATTTCAGTGACATATGAACACAATGTTGATGTGGTCAGACCCTGAGAATGTTTCAAAGAAACAAGGAAACCACAGCTTTGTATCTCACCACTGGAAGAACAAAAAGAAAAAGATCACAAATAAAAACCCAGCATGGTCAGAAACACACAAAACCGAAGTCTTTATTAAACATTACTCTCGTCATTCAGGGACCTGACACAACAGAAACATTTTTGTGCGTTTGACTGTATAACAACCGTTAAAGCAGTACAGGATTTGTGCTGTACGTCGTGTAGATCTCTGTCATCCTTTTGGTGAAAGAAGAGGCCCATCGATGTCTGTGATGCAGTACGGCTCAAAAGCAATGAACCTTTGGGCAGCGACTGAATGCAGAATCAAATGAAACGGACCGTACTGAGCGACTGGAAGAGGCTTGTGATTCTCACAACAGGTAAATAGAAGTGAACAGACTTGAGCTCTGTGCATGTCGTGTGCATAGTTGCAGTGAAACGGTTCACACTTCACTCTCAGAAGAGCGTTAAAGAGGAAGTTATTTCGGCCTACTGCACTGTTCAAAGGTTCATGGTGACGGGTCTAGCAGACGTGATGCAGAGGCAGAGCTGTTGTAAACTGGTACAATAATGATATGCTGACACTGATCCGCCAGAGCTGAATCGTATGGAGCCTCCCGAATGTACTTGTATTCATTTTATTGAGCTAATGTTTTTATTTAAAGGGAGAGTTCACACAAAATTGAAAAATCTGCCATTTACTCACTCATGTTATTGCAAACCTGCATGACTGACTTTCTTCTGCAGAACACACACAACCAAAAAAAAAAGCTCATACTGATTTGGAATTAAATGAGGATGAGTAAATTATGGCAAATGTCTCTGGTAATTCAGATAAGACTAAAGAATGCAACATCCTTGGAAATGTCAATACAAGGTCTTACTTTAATAAAGCATTTCTAGACAACCATAATTGTGAATTCAGTACTTGTTTGATGTTTTTAGACCTAAAAAAAAACAAAACAAAACTAGGCTAGCGGTCTCATGAATCCAGATGTCTGGCAGGGATCAGTGTGTTACGGAGGCAAAGTTGTTTGTGAGCTTTACTTAAATTGATTGTCACACAGAGGCAGTGTTGTTGTTGACAATTGTTAAATGATTGTTGCAGGAGAGCAGAGGCAGTGATGTTGTAAGGTACATAGAAGGACGCGGCGGTGGAAACATCTCAGCACACGTGACAGCTAAAGCATGACAGATGATTAGAAACAAATCTACCACTAACAGGGCTTCAAGACTGAGGTGCAGGCAAAAAAGGCATGAGGTTCTGTGTGAAATACTCAATTACAACATTCTCAATACTTCTGAAATTACATGAATTTCTTGTGGGCATTTAGCTAAAAATACATCTTGTATTCTTTGTGAGTCATTATGTTTGGAAATATAATTTTTTATTTAACAATCTGCTAATACTGTGTGTGGGGGGGGGGGGTCTCTGTGTCTTTTGACAGTTAACAATTACAAAATTAAAAGTAAATTAAGAAACAATATTAAAAAGCTACACAAAGGCATTTACCGCTCCTTAAAATCTGAGATCTCATACACATCATAAATGCTGCTTGTTTACATGAGATCCTTCATTTCTTTGCCAAAACTGCCAAGTTGATCATTGTGAATACGTCTCCAAATCATTTCCTCACTGGACAAAACTGCGTGTTAACCCCATCGTACTTCATATCTTGAAGTACACGCATCTTTTTCAGTGCTAGTGTGACGTACCCTTGTGCATGACGTGAACAGGACTGTCTTGGAGTGAACATAAACACGGTTAAGGTTGACCCACTGTTAACTCTTGAGAGAAAAGTTAAGTATTGTTCTGCATTCCACCTAAGACACAAGATTCAAATCTCATATTTCTGTCAATATAGATTTCATATATTCATATATCTTTTTTGTAAGAAAACAAAGAAACAGAACCAAAACAGCTGGAAAGTTCAAAATGTCCCTGACTTGTGGACATTTGACATCCTAACATCCTTTAGCTTGCTTTAAGGGACTGAAATTTATAAAATAACATCACAGGCCCAAGAGTATGCATCCCTCAGATGAGGAAGAGATCTTCCCTGGACCTTCACAGTTTGTGTGATGGGAGCAGAGCTGGGAAGACACAGTAAAGAGCCGCTTCTGCACACACAGGGCATCTGTTCTGCCGTCTTTCACAAACTACCGCCACGTGAAAAGCTGCAGGGCTCTGGTAGTCACTGAATCACTGGTGGTTTTAATGACAGCGTGAGTTTTGAGCAGACTTGGCCTGTGTGTAGCTCAATTGGTCTTCAGCTAATGAAAGCCGGACAGATTTACTGTTCGATTCGGGTCCGGTCAGCCCAGATCAAAGTCTACCGGAATTCTGGTTTCTGGCGCTGGTCGGCTGTGGCTTATTTCTGGTTTCTAACCAGTTTCGTTCTGTACGGAGCCCTGTCTGGAGGTGAGACTCAGGGGGAGTGAGCTGAGGGGCTGCTGTGTGCTGAGCTGGGAGACAAACTGGGGCTGCAGCTTCCTGGTGGCGCTCCTTTTCCTCCTCCTCTCGCCCCACCGCCACCCTCCAGACCCTCCGAATTCTCCAGCATCTCCTGAATGAGTGGAGGCATGGAGCCAGGAATCTCCATTTTCAGAGTTATTACTCGCTCGGCTCCTGATTGAGAAAGAAATGTTCGAATTAATTCTGGTTGATTCAAGCTTGATGATGTTCACAGAGTGACTGTGAATCTCACCTTTAGCGCTGATGCTCCTCAGGTCTGTGATCTTCATTAGCATCTTGGGGAACATATGTGGTTTATGAGGCCTCCTCTTTCTCACGTAGATCTTTAGGGCCTCCAGCAGCGGCTCCTGAAGCACATCCACCTTATCCGACTGCTCCAGATCCTGCCGATCTGAGCACAAGTGCACAGTGTTTTATAACATCAGCTAACAAAGCATCAGCTCCCACAAGCATAAAAAAATAACAATTTCATGAGTTCTAGAGAGTTTAAATTTTATTCAAACATTGTCTAAATGGAAGAAAACTCTATTATTAAATGTTAATTCTAGCTGGTAACTTATACATTATTATTAAAAATTAGTATTAAAAAATTCGAAATGAGAACCAAAAACAAAAAATTGTCTGACATTAAATTTAAAAACAAACAAACAAGGCCAATATTGGCTGACAACAGTTATGGGGCCAATATATTGAGCATCCATACTGTAAAACCTAAAAAAGGAAATTACAGACAATATTGGATGAACATAGTTTGGTATACAAATAATGTATTAGTACAAGTGAAGGGCAGTACAAATGAAAGTCAGTTTTATGTGATTACTGACTGAATGAAAAATTCATGAAGACGACATTCACAAACCAAAACCGTATCCGATTCAATTAAGAGTCAAAAAGCTGCATTACCTCCACACAGCAGACAGATGGCGCTGAGAAGCCCCGTCTCTGCATCATCCATCTCCAGAGGCAGGAGCTGGTTGGCGAAAGCGAAAACCAGATCTGTCAGTGGACCGAAGCCGGCATTGTGCATCTGTGTGCGGTTCAGTGTCAGACCATCTGAAAACGTCATGGTGTCCTGATCCGGTGTGTAACGTGTACATATTCGCAGAATCTGTGGAAGAAAACGAAAGACATAGATACGCTCTCAACCTACACACTGCTACAAAAGTGATGCATCTATTCATGCACTATTTAGACAAAAGAACACATATGAGTGTCGTGCTCTCACCAGGATGTCGAGACAGGCGGCCTTTAACAGGGTGATCTGATCTGCGATAGTGAGCGTGGTGAAGCCCGGCAGCTGCTTGGCGAACTCCACCGTTTTAATGATGCATTTGGTGGAGAGTTCACTGAACTTGTCCCACAGGTTAACGTCCAGAGAAACCCTGTGGTCTGCACTGTTGTTCTGTTTGAGGCCAGGACAGAGACAATGTTTGCATAGTTTGTGATTTATTTCCCCACAATTCCACAAGGATGTCACCGTTAAGAGCTTTGCCTCTGACTTACCGTGGTGTATTTGCCCAGCTGGCACAGGGAGGGGAAGGTTTCCTGATGGGCCTTCCTAACCCGCTCGATCATCTGCTCCGTATCAGGACTTAAGACGTAACTCTCCGAACACTCCTGCTTCTTCTCTTCCTTCTTCCTCTTGTTCCGGTCGTTCCGAACAGCTACAAGGACAGGAAGAAAAAAAAAGTCCAACCATCTGATATACACACTCCACTGATGATTTTTACCAGAAGTATAAATAAGAAATAAATATCTAAATAATAAAAATATAAAACTAATAATATACACATGCCACAAGATGGCAGTAAACGTCCACTGTGTTTTTTTTTTTTTGCTGCCTGATGAAAACAGCAGATCATAGTTAATTAAACCTCTTTCAGATTCAGGTTCTTCGATTCAATCATTTTGGCAGCTAATACTTAAAAAAACAAAAAACAAAACAAAAAAAACAATGAATGAAAGAGGAGGCAGATTAAGTGGCAGACCCAGAGAACATACATACATACATACATACATATATATATATATAGATGGAGAGAGAGAGAGGGAACAAGGATATAGAAATACATTTCTTGCTGTATTTCCAGAGAGAAAAGAGCTGAATAAAAACCAAGTGCTTTGATGTGACTGTTCAAAAAGAGCTTTAGATAAGAGTCTCTCAATTGCCAAATAAGCAAAATTCCAAGGAAGTGATTCTCGGAAGTCTTCCCTTCTCTGTCTGTGACAATGGGAACATGTATACAGTGATATACCTGCCTTAAAAATACAGAGTAAACTATACAATAATAGAAAAGTCATATAGAAAAAACACTGAATATTTAGAGGCATTATACATGCATCCAATATATAACTGTTTAGCAACAACACACTGGTAACTCACAGACGAGCTCATTGTACAAACACACCAACGCAAGAAAAGTGTTTACAACAAGATTTCGAAAACGCCTTTTTCCTTTTGGCTTTGACGTCAATGTAAACATAAATGTGAACAATACACCAGAACAACATTAACAGTGTTTACATGCAGAGCGAAATCAGGAGAACAGGACAAATTAGGTTATGCGTAAAACCAATAATGACCTTCCCCTGAAAAAGACAGTTTTAGGCATTCAGTACTATTCAAAAGTCAGCAAGAGTTTAAAGAAATTAACACTTATTCAGCAAGAACACAATAAATTGAACAGTAATGCCATATAATTTTTTTTTTCAAAAGGTTTAAATTCAAATAAATGCTTTTGAACTTTCTATTAAAAAAATCCTGAGAAAAACATTTATCACGTTTCCAAAAAATTTAACTGTTTTCAATATTAATTGCAAACCAGCATTTTAAAGTGATTTCTGAAGGATCATGTGACACTGAAGACTAGAGTAATGATGCTGAAAATTCAGCTTTGCCATCACAGGAATAAATTACATTGCACAATATATTAAAGCGTATTTTAAAATGTAAAACTATTCCGCAGATTTATTGCTTTTACTGTATTTTTGATTAAATGCAGCCTTGGTGAGCATAAGAGAAACTTTTAAAACTTGTACGACCATGTTTTAAAATATCTTACTGACCTTAAACTTTTGAACAGCAGTTTTTGTGATCTTACATATTGTCAAGTTTTCAAAGATGAAGTGTGTCAGTTCAGCGCCACTTGCAACCAAAATCAGGACAATAATGCCATTGATAGGCCATAAATATAGTCCTGTGTCAATCTCATGCCATCAGCTGAATCCACATTGCTGCATAGAGCCAGTTGGGTTGCTGAAACAATCAATCTTTTGATAGCATCACAGTATTTACTCTTCAGGGAACTCTGAGAGGAATAAGTGGTTTACTTAAAGCTGTTTCTGCACATTAAACTGGGATGAGAAAATATAAATGACATTGAAGAATTGCAATCTTCACTGGTAAATAATCAATGTAAGATTGTGCATGTAAACGCTCTCATTGTTTCATATCACACACACACACACACACACACACACACACACACACGCTGATGCTGTGCAGAGATGAGAAATTAATGTTGGTGGTTGTTAATAACGGTGACAAACGACCTCTGCTTTCACTAAAATCCAACCTAATCTAATCATGTCACATGACAAATATCAGCCCGCTTTAAAGAGCTTTAACCGGGCTCTCTTGGTAAATAATCAATGTAAGATTGTGCATGTAAACGCTCTCATTGTTTCATATCACACACACACACACACACACAGACAGACAGACACGCGCTGATGCTGTGCAGAGATGAGAAATTAATGTTGGTGGTTGTTAATAACGGTGACAAACGACCTCTGCTTTCACTAAAATCCAACCTAATCTAATCATGTCACATGACAAATATCAGCCCGCTTTAAAGAGCTTTAACCGGGCTCTCCCTCTGCACCTGCATTCCTACCTCCTCCCTTTCTTCCCTCTCTCAGTCTCTGTTTTCCTGGAACCTAACAATCGCTCTCTTTTTTACTTCTCACAGCCTCAATCACTCCTTTATCTCATGTTTTCTTGCTGTTTTTGGGTAGGACTCCTTCCTTTGTCTAGAGATAACTCAATGGCTCTTCTTCTCCCTCCTCCACACGCACACTGAGGGAGCGAGCGAGAGGGGTGGTAAAGGATGATTCTCCCTCACTTCTCCCCACAGCCAGATTTTCATTTCTCCAGAGGGAGCTGGGTGCCAGCGTGGGCTCCAAAAACACAATCTAATGGAGCCATTAAAGAACTATTAACACCGGGAGGTAATCTTTCACAACGCGACATGTGCGAAAAGACGAAACCTGCTTGCAAACAACTTTATGATGACGAGAGCGCCATCATATCCGGGCGGAGAGAATGAAATATGTAAAATAACAAATCTGGGGCAGAGATTTCATCTTGCTCTGGTAGAAAAAGCTAACTTCAGTTCAGTACAGCACAGAAAGAAAAGTGTACATACTTTCATGCTATTAACAGAACAAAAGTACAAGCAAAAGCAACTAAATTAGGTCCTACTGCAACATACAGTGGGGCAAAAAAGTATTTAGTCAGCCACCAATTGTGCAAGGATAAAGCAATAATAAAGTGCTACTGTACGACTTGGAGAAAGCTATTAATAAAAAAAAAAGCTATTAATAAAAAATGTAGCTGATATTCATTATGATATTCATTTATTGTCTTCGGACAAATACACAGACATCTCACAAACAATGTTCCCTCATATGCAGCTGCACACTTATGTGGAAGGTCTGGTATAAAGAATGTTTGGTCCCACTTCATATTAAGTGGCCCTAATACCTGTGTACTTACTTAGTAACTAGATGTGTACATTAGGGGTGGAACAGTTCGAAAAAATCGAACCGTACGGTTCTCCACACACGGTTCGGCACGCGCTAGGACCGCGGTTCAACTTAAATCTGACAACGCATCTGTAATATGGTTTCTTATAAATAACACATAAAAAAAAAAACAGGGTTCGGCTAATGTATGTTTCTGTTGATGGATGCGCATTCTGGCTTCCCAATACATTACAACAACAGCGATGAGAAAAAAAAGAAAAAAAAAACCCCGTGGACAAACCATTCACTCTTGTTCAATGCAAATGCTGTATGCTGGAATATGAGCAGTCATTTATTCCGTCATCACCCGGGTGCTGATAGCGCGCGCACACAGGTGAGACCTGAACAGCACATGTTGATATCTGTTTAAACTAAACTCATTTAAGCTTTGCCAGTTTAAACATTTAAGAGCCAGAAGACGCGAGCTCGAGCCCACAGTAAGAAGATTTGTGCGTGCGCTCATCCGAAGCGCGCATTAAATCTGACAACGCATCTGTAATATGGTTTCTTATAAATAACACATAAAAAAAAAAACAGGGTTCGGCTAATGTATGTTTCTGTTGATGGATGCGCATTCTGGCTTCCCAATACATTACAACAACAGCGATGAGAAAAAAAGAAAAAAAAAACCCAGTGGACAAACCATTCACTCTTGTTCAATGCAAATGCTGTATGCTGGAATATGAGCAGTCATTTATTCCGTCATCACCCGGGTGCTGATAGCGCGCGCACACAGGTGAGACCTGAACAGCACATGTTGATATCTGTTTAAACTAAACTCATTTAAGCTTTGCCAGTTTAAACATTTAAGAGCCAGAAGACGCGAGCTCGAGCCCACAGTAAGAAGATTTGTGCGTGCGCTCATCCGAAGCGCGCAAACCAGTGCCTCAGAACGCACGCAAATATTAAGCTCTCTCTGAAGTCGTGTGTTTGAATGGACAAATTCACACAAAAATTATGTCAAAATACCCGTCTTGTTAAGTATCCTATAGCAGACATAGCCAGCTGAACGTACTGGATCAGTGCATTCTCTTAAAGTGACAGCACTTTCTTAATATTAATCGAACAGCAACAACAAAGAAATCACTCACTGCTCTTGATTGAATAGCTTTTGTAACTTTAATAAAGATTAATCTTTAATTTATACAGTCAAATATGCAATGCTGTTTTACATTTGATTACTTTATTCAATTTCTGTACCTAAAAACGAATGCTAAACCTACCAAAAAAAACCCTTAAAAATCACTGTTTATTTTATTTGTATGTTTACTCTATTGTATTTATTTGTGCTGTTGCTTGTAGTTAGATAGATTATTCTTATTTTCTTTGACAGTATAGTTTTTCTCTAAACATAGCACATACCGAACCGTACCGAAACCGTGACTCTAAAACCGTGATACAAACCATGAAAAAGTTGAACCGTTCCACCCCTAGTGTACATAGTATGTAACCACAGTGTAAGTACACATTGGTACATAGTATCTACAGCTCTAATGTTTATGTAACTACACATATGTAGCAACCCACTGAATGGTATGTGCAAGTACAAATGTGTAACAGGACTAACAGCACTTTTTGGTAAAGAAAGTGTTACACTTTATATTAGATTTACCAATTACTCTGTAATTACTCTGATGTTACACAGCAGAGGCCAGTAAGTTAGGCTTTACATATAAATTGTTGTTGGTGTCCAGAATGTTACACTTTATATTAAGTGGACAGTTCCTGAGTAGTTACTATGCAAGTACATTGGTATTACAGTGGTGCACCAACTCCACCAACTCGAGATCCAACTCCTCCCACTTTACACATCCCTAAACCTACCCATCTCCACCCTCTGGATCAAATGGTTCAAATTACTCTTATACATATTGTTGTTACAAAATGTAGTTATATAATTCCTGTTACACGAGTACTTAGAGAAGTGAAAAAAGTGTTGTTACCAATGTCCTGTTACACATTTGTACTGGCACAAACCATTCGGAGGGTTGTTACATGTGTGTAAATATTACAGCTGTAGATAATATGTACTTACACTGTGGTTACATACTATGTATACATCTAGTTACTATGCAAGTACACAGGTATTGGGGCCACAATATAAAGTGGGAACGAATGTTTTTGCTCAGGTGGCCGAAATGTCCACCCACTAGAAAAAAGTTTTGCTCAGCAAGAAAAATATTACAGGGAACATTGCTCAAGACAGCAAACCTCTTTTATATGCTTGTACACAAGCCTGTCACACAAACATGCTTTAACATCACTATGAAATGACAAAGACAATCACCAGTGTGCTTCAAATAATGCTGGAAAATGTCATTTCACTGGTCATCCGTGCAGAGCACATCAGCACTCTGTCCAGTAGGTGGTGACAGCAGGATCAGAGAGACAAATGACTGACAAGAGGCCTTCCTAGCATAGTGTACTAAACATATGCTGTAGTATGCAGTTCTGGTTAAAAAAAAAAAAAAGATTGTACAAAATGGTATAGTAGCAATTTCAGTCTCTTATGCTCACCAAAGCTGCATTTATTTGATCAAAAATACAGTGAAAGCAGTAATACTATTACAATATTACAGTGTTATTATGTAACTTACATTCTTTAGACATGCCTACTTCCAGGCACTTCTGCAGTCGGCAGTACTGGCAGCGGTTTCGGGTGACCTTGTTGATGATACAGCTCTTCTCTCTGTGACAGGTGTACAGCATGTTCTTCTGAATGCTCCTCCGGAAAAAGCCCTGAGGAGAAAAGCAAGCACAGAGGTTTACTATAGCTGGAAGTTTACAAATGACACACGCAAGCAAATTAACACCAGCCCCCAGAAGCCGGCAAGACTGAGGTGGAGCGGTTATATAAAGTCACTAATGATTCACCAGTTAATCATATATTCACATTATGCGCATCGTCACTATACACAAACACACGAATAAACAACCATGGCATAGATGCAGCTCTCTCACACATACTCGCACATTATTTCTTGGCATAATGGCCGACTGAGCTCGGTTTAGATTCAGCTGTATTATGGCTGCTGGGTATTATCTCCCAGTTCTAGTGCCCAGAGGCTCCTATTTGCTAATAGCCAGTGGGGCTTAACCCACATAGGCTCGAGCGGAGGGTTACAAATGAGAGATTCACATTATTCTCCTGATCTTAATTACTGCTTGGTCAGACTCCCAAGGGCAGAGAGTCCATCCGAGGTCACAAACGGACACGGCAAAAGCAGAAAAGATGCAGCAGAAGCCACATACGATCAGAGAGCAGATGTCAAACAGTGTTTGCATATGCTTGTGGAAGGGATTTCAGCTGCTGTGCTGCAACCACGGCTCTCTGGCTGAGGATTAAACTGTGAAAGCTTCACTCGTGACTGCCGCTGGGCACGTGGGTATCAGCGGCGCTCTGCGCAGGATTCACTGATTAGGCCAAGCAGGAACACATTACGTGGGTTCAATGCTTCAGTATGAATACATTTAAGAAAAAAGATCTGGAGATACTCCTAAATATTGCAGATTTATACCTGACAAACAGGGTGAAAAAATTTCTTCTGGAAAAAAAACTGATTCTTCTGGACCTGATGTTGGATTGGATAGGCCACATTCACGTTATTAACAGGGATACATACTACTACAATGAGCTGATAATTATTAAACTATTAAAATATGTGTGACAAATTTAAACTAATTTTTATTTAGTGTTTTTAACTGTAACCATACCATTGTACGGAAGTTCTAAGAGGTCAAGGATTATTATTTTTCTTGTTTTCTCATTATCACAACTTCCCAATTTCACATTTTCTTGTGATCTCGACATAAAATTTGTTCTCTAAGTTACACAACTGCGTCATCAGGTGGCAGTATAGAGCTGTGTTCATATTGGCCCTGATTGACAGAGCGAAGACCTTACTACTTTGTGATAGCTACTGTGCAGTATTGTTCGTTACCAACAATTAACTTATAATTTGTAAATGCTTGAATCAATATGATTATTTTGCTTGAAAGTTCATCTGTCATTAGGTTACTACATGCATGACAATGGTAGACTCCCAGTTCATTGTGTTTCGGATTAAAAAAACAAACAAAAAAAACACGCGTGTCATGTCGAGAGCTCATGAGAAATTTAAGTCGTGATAAGAAAACTTTTGGGCTTTCATACTACTATCCAAAACAATATATATATAAATAAATAAATTAAAAATACTTAAAAAAAAAAAAAAAAAAAAAAAACCCATGAAAAACCCATGCACTGTTATATCTTTTTATTGAATGAAGTTAACCTTCATATCCAGTGAACAGTAAACAAATTAGCAAACTAAGTTAGCTAGCTTGTTCATTCGAGTTTAACTTCTGTTCTTTTGCAATCTAATCAAATGTCCGTGGTATATGTGACAATTTTTTTGTAAACTATGTGATAGACTGGGCTTTATTTTTCCATTTGCTGTGGGGTTTATTGAAATGTGCGCTAAAGTTATGTTTACAGTTATAATTATACCGTAATCATTTTATTATTCTGTCAGAGAGTACCTTAAAGATTGTCTGTGTTGGTCTAATAAGAATATTATGGTGTTACGGTGTGTAGGCTGATACCCATATTTCATACCGTTTCATCCAGCAAAGCTTCATCACAGAACTATTCTTCAACTTACAAAACCAAGAGAAAGCTACAAGGACATTGGAGTTTGTTCAAAGGTAAATATTGTTAGATTTGTTTTGCCCCTCTTCCCAGCTTTTTTTTTTGTTGTTCTCTCTTTTTTACCTACCACCCCACCGCTCTCTTTCTTTATTTCTCTCAAACACAGTAGGTCCCCCAATTAATCTTTACTTGCCACACCCAACATCCCATATTTCTCTATTATTACATTTTAGGCACTTCATTGGTGAGAACCACGAGAGGGAAACAAAGGCCAGCCAAGTGACGGTGCTGTCGGAGAAAACAGGGCAAGGTTTTACAAAAACCTTATGAACTTTGAGTGGGACAGTATTTAGTAAGCTGAAGTAACATGCTCTGCAACTAGATGTTCATATCAAGTCATAGCATTGTGTTCTGTTCAGTCCAGTCTCACTGGTGAAGTGGAAACAGTGTTATTAATAATGCTTTAATAAAAGCCTAATGTTTTAAAGCCATATCTTGTCTGAGCAATTTGTGTTCAAGTAATATTAAGTTGTATTTAATTTTAGAATGTAAAGTTTAAATCATTAGCTTCTAGCAGAGTTACAATGTTTAGATCACATTCTACAGTACTTTAATACATTTTACAGTAATAAAGAGCTTATGAAATTGCAACTAGGGGTGGGCGATATAGCCTCAAAATTATATCACGATATTTCAAGAATATTTGCGATAATGATATTTATGACGATATAGCAAAAAAAACATGGAACAACGTTTTATTGGTGATTGCAGCTGGCAGGCAGCAGCATTTATTAGTGCAAACAAAATGAAGGGCATTTTCCATCCTTTTCCAATAAGCTACTGTCATCGATGACAGACTACCTAATTTAAAGTGTAAATCTATTGTCATAAGGTGGCAGAAGCAGCTGTGTGTTCGACTTGAAGCAGACGATCCGTGTATGATGTCAAAATACTGCGAGAGTGACTTACCCCTTGAGTGACTTACCGGCTCTCCGCGCCGCTTCGCTAAAGATATGCGCCTTGCCTATTTTTGACGGTAAGAGTGTGTGCTCGAATATGCTCTAGAACCGCTCACGCGATACTTTGATGTCATACACCAATCAGTCTGCGCAGCGCTGCTGTTGTTGTGCGCACTAGAGAACGTATATCCGCCATACGTCATTGCGACGCTATACCATTGATATCACGATATGAGACTTTTTTTTTTTTTATCATGTAAAAATTTATACCGGTATTATCGTGGACGGTATGATATGGCACACCCCTAGTTGGAATACTAAAATAACAGTGTAATGACAGTATTGTACTGTAAAGCGTATATTTTCTATGGCATGGTACGGTCATTTTTTACAGTAATAAACTGTTGTTGCAGATTACAGTAGGTACACTAGAATAACGGCTTTATGCTGGCAAATGTAGCTGCCAGTAGTTTACTGTAATTTAACAGTGATTTTTTTTATCAGTGTAGGCATTGCAACTTAGAATATAAAAAAGAAATCATTTTGAGAATTACTAAAGACTGCTAATCATTTTATTAAATTACTTTTATTGAATTACTTTTTTTTTTTTAAGATCAAATTTAAATAAGTGTTCAATGTTGGGTAATAGATGGAAATCTATATGTAAAAATAGGGGAAAACAGTATGCAGACTTAAATATCCATAACACTCGCTGATAAGCTATACATTACGCTATGCTTAGAGAATCAGTGTTGACATGATTATCTATCTACACATGAACTGCATCTAAATATGCATCCTAGTCATGCTACAGTTTTCAAAGCAAGCCTACAGTAAAAGCAAAACTCTCCCTCTCTGGTTTAGAAACAATAATCCCCCAGGCTTTTAGTGGAAAAGCCTTCAACTTATCAGTCAGGACACCGAGGGAAGCTTTTAGTATGTGTGTGCTTTTGACAGGTCTGTCCAGTGGCTGCCATCTAAAAACACTCATGTCATTTCACCGAAAGCATGTGTCCAAGGACATGTCCCGCTTGCTGAAAGAACATGTCCCTCTCACACTCGGTCTCGGCTATGAAAAAGTAATAAAGGTAAAGGTGAGCATGGCAGATGTGTGACAGAACGTGTGCTTGCCTCGCTGAGCCGAAATGGTTTTCTAATGTGCTACCCAGAGGCCTGATCTCCCTACAGAGGAGCTCTCATTCATCGGACATGTTTTATTCATGCCAGCTCTGATCTTTTGGAGGTCATTGTTGGAGGTCATTGTGGTAGATGCAGATTAAATGCTTCTTCCTGGACCAGTATCAGCAGGTCAGTGACTGTGCAGACGCACTACATGAAGTTGCACGCTGCTGTGAGCAGCAACTTCCCTGTACACGAAAATGAGTTTGCGCAGTTTCAAAACTTGACCACTTGTATAATAAAAGCAATTTATTTAAAATGACTTTGCACAGGCTTTATAAAAATGTAGCATAATTCAGCTGAAAATAAAGCATTGGGTCTATACACTTTCTCACAAAATGTGCTTACATCAGTAACCAAATATCCCATGAATCCTGACCAAAGGTACCCTTTGTACAGCCGACTGCTGTCTCACCTGGAGAGCTGATTGACTGATAACAAACCCATGACAAAAGTCACACCAGTCCACAATCAAAAGGCCCCTTTTCCTCATCCTGTTTCACTCACTTCGCTCCGTGCCGCTGTTGGTTGGGCCTGAAAGCCACAGGAACGAAGCTCAATATCATCACAAGGTGTGAAGAATGCTCTGGCAACAGAGGGGCAGCTGGGTAATTCCACTAGATTACAGGCTGCAGCAGTGGCCCATTCAGCTTTGCCATTGCAGGCATAAATTACATTTTAAAATATATTTAAATAGAAAACAGTCATTTAAAATTGTAAAAACATTTCACAACATTAGCGTTTCTACTGCATCTTTGATCAAATAAATGCAGCCTTTGTGAGCATAAGAGACATCTTTCAAAAGCATTAAAGGGGTCATATGATGCGATTTAATTTTTCCTTTCTCTTTGGAGTGTTACAAGCTCTTGGTGCATAAAGATGATCTGTAAAGTTGCAAAGACTAAAGTCTCAAATCCAAAGAGATGTTCTTTATAAAAGTTAAGAGTCAGCCACGCCTACCTAAAATGGCT